GTGATTCCTTTGTGTATTAACTAGAAATAACACATTTATAATATTTGCCACAGTTTTATAATATGTTTAGTTCACAGACCACTTTTTTACTTTTGGTATTAAAAAGCTGAAATGTTACCCTCACCAAGAAACTTGGTGCCTTTCAGATGTATAGGCTAATTAAATAGACGAGTGCAAATTAAGAAAGCAAACATTTTGATTTTACATTTTTATTTCTGTGACCTTCAAAGGACCAGAAAATAGCTGTGTGCCAACCAGCCCCAGTCTCCCCTAAATGGGAGCTGTAAAGCTATGAGCTCATTGTTAAAATGAAGCCAGTGCATTAACTGTAAATATTTCAGTGTAGTAAAATAACCCCTCAATGCCAAACAAAACCATGAAGAAATACTCCACAGTCTTTTGTTTTAGAATGTGATCTGAAATGCAGTGTTACTGCAACTGTGATCCACTAGATGGCTTCAGAGGCCATTAGTTTGCAAAGTACAGTGACATAGGCAGAAATCAAATGGTCTACACAAGCAAGACTTTTGAGTTAAATGGTAGCTTTATGGATTCTATGGTTCAACATTGTAAATAGAAATAAAATATACAGAATATTTTGTATCTTAGTGTTTGAGATTTGAATGAATCTGTCCATCATATTTATAATTTGTTTATGGGTGCACTGAGACTTTATCCATTTGAATGCATTTGGTGAGAAAATCCACAATGCAACTGCAGACAGTGAAAGGAAGCTCACACCATCAACCTTCTCTTTCCAAATAAATAATGTTTTTACCCCCTTTGTGTGTTTATGGAATATTTTGCTAGATTTATTTCCTGTCTGCTCCCTTTTTCCTGTGGTAGCTCATGGCTTCATATCTCAAGCATCTACACACCTTTCTGCATCCACACTCCAACAGAGCCACGCAAGACACTCTAGTGCTTTATTCATGATAACACAGGCTTTTGGATGATACCCCCGTTAAAAGCATTATTCATATTGTATGTAACAGAAGACTATCTAGCATCTTTAAGTCATCTGTGTTGACATTTTGTATCTCAACATTTGAAATTTAGAGCACCAACTTGCTGAGTATTCTTGGAGGAATATGGCAGTCTAAATGCGCCATGTTGCTTTGACACCGTGCCATGCAAAGGATAATGAATAATTTAAAAATCCCATCTGAGCTTTACAGATCTGAGAAGTATTGCTTCTCTTAACACATTTCAGATTAAATGTCAACGACGTGCGGTTCAAATGTTAACTTATCTATGAGTTAACAGTTTTTAAGCTAGTATTCTGCACACTATGCAATGTGAGATAACTGTCCTACACCTATTGCTTTCCTGCAGCTCAACCTAGAGGAGGAATATGGGTGAATGAGGCAGGACGTTGTCAGCAGGAGAAGAGCTCTCCTTCCCTTTTGCTGCCTCTCTCCCCCTCCAACCCCCAGAACTCCAGCACTGCAGGGAGAAGTTTTCTGCTATCTGCAAAACTTTGCAGTTGACCTCCTTGCCACATTTTTGAGCCAGTGGAGATGTTCTTTCGGCATAACACTATGCTCAGCCAAGGAGAAAATGCACACAATAGAGGATTGAGAGGAGCCCAGCACACAGGGAGGGCTTTCAGATCAATTTTCCTCCTGGGAGACCACCTGACTTTGTCACACCAGCAGCTACAGTGAGAAAGGACAGTGTTGCTATGGAGTGCTACAGTTATGTTTTATCATGATTAAAAACAAGAACAGACTCACTCACTGTACCTCTTAAAATGCATTCCTTTATCTGTGAATTGATTCCACAGGATTAGAGTTACTGTTTTTTTTTTTTTTTTTTGTTTTTTTTGTCCAGTTCAGAACAGACTTACAAGTGACAATACTAATATTGCTAATATTACAATTACACAGTGCATAGACATAGATTTTGGGAACACATTCCCCTCAATTTTTAAGAATGTGCATTTGTCTCCCCTCAATAAAAATATTAGAAGCACAGTAGACTTTTATTTTGAAAACAAAAAGAAAAACACAATGACACCATAAATTGATACAGAAAATGCACAGATTGGTGCATAAAGATTTACCAGAATGCAGACCCCCAAATCCCCGGATGACTGCAACTAATAATTATTTTCATTATCAGTTAATTTACACATTATTTCCTCAACTAATTGGTTAAATGTTTTGTCAATAAAATGTCAGGAAATAGGGAAACATGCCCTGCTGTGTAATTTTCTATGGCCCAAGGGGATGTCTTCAAATGGTATGTTTTATCCATGTATGGCAAAGAGGCCTTTTCTTTCTTTTTTTTTTTTTTTTTTTTTTTGATTATCAAAATAGTTGCTAATTAATTTTTGGTTGATCGACAAATCAATTAACTGACTAATGATTGCTGCTCTATGTATATGTGTCTCTCCCAATGTTGAAACAAAACTGCTCTTGATAAGGGCATTTGACTGTTTTGCACTGATAATTCAAGCACTGCACTTTGTGGTTTTATTTTTAAGTACTCTCCCATGGCAAAGACAACACTGACTCTTGCATTAATGGCCACACTTTTTTTTCAACAGTTTTACAGGTATGTCTTTCATGATGGCAGTGCAGTATTCACCTCTCTTCATCTGTCAGGCAGATAAATGACACATCATCAGGAAAAAACTAGCAGCCTTTTGTTAGCCTCCTTGGTGTGTTTCAGCCTGACCACAATTTTACCCCACTGTATCCATTGCTATAATGTGCCATGATGAACTTTGACCTCGGTGCAGTATTTCCTTTTGTTTTATTCTATATATACAAGAGGCCTTCCTCATAATGTTCAGATAATGTGTTCATCTTAAGATACTCAGCTCGTCTTAATGAACTCTATACTCACACATAATCATGCACTTACACTGTTTGCATGAACATGTGTTTGCAAATCTGTGTGAAAACTGTAGTGTGTGGAGAAGTCATACATTTCTAAATATCCAAGAAATATTTCACAACATCTTGCATCGACTATACGAGTCAATATGTCATTTATGTATTCCGAAAAAGTATTTTTCAGCGCAGCTTGAGCAGATGTACGAGCAGAGGGATTAGCAACTCAAGTGTAGCTTTGCTGTCACAAGCAGAGATGTTTTGGGAATTGCCCTAGCAAGCAGTGAGCTGCACTCATGCATATGGAATGAAGTGCACAGGAACCGCAGACTCGCTCATTCACCTTTATTGCTCAGCCACCATCTCGATGGCCAAGGGCATGGCAGCAGCAGCTGTTGCACTGAAACACTTTCAGCTTGCGCTTAAAGCCTCGGCAAACAATATAATGAAGAAGCAATTCCAGATTTTTAAACGATATATTTTAGTGTCACATTTTTTAATTCACCTGTTAAAAACATGATCATTTTTGATTCCTGGAGAGAGGGAGCAGCAATGCCGAGAAGTATCCTACCATGAGATTGCTTTCCAAAACCATCACTTCAGAATTAAGATTATTAGGTCCACAGCGACCTTTGCCTTAATGCATTTGTCTGTCAATGTCTTCTCTGGGGTGGCAGGAAAACAACAAGAGTGAGTATTAACGTGGTAAGGAGGGCAGCCGGGGACAGGGCCAGTTCTTCTACAACAGAAACCAACTTGGAGAATTAGGACAGGGCAGTTAAGGTAGCGCAAGAGCTGATTTTGCAACAACACCTTCATGAGGAACAATTAAAATGCCTAATTTAGTCAAATGAACTTAAAAGATTAGGCCAAACATGGACGGATCCTGATCCTTGTCGGATGAGCTGGCGTCATGGAATCTAGATCTTGAATCCAGTCCAGCTCTTGAGACATTTATAATACATGCATGCATTTCTGTGTATCTATGATGGTGTTTAACATTAAATAACTACAAATGAATACTGATGAGCTTTGATATTTACAGCTTTGTTATGCATTGTGAAGGAGTTACCTTTATTTTGGTCTATGCTAACACTAATAGCAGGTTGAACAGTGTTGAACACAGCAGGCAGACATGTTTTTAGACATTTACAGTGCAATGTACAGCAGCTTTACAAATATCTAAACACCAACTGAAAATAGACAAAGGCTTGGTAGTCAGGGTCTGAACTCGGGCCATCTTGTGTGGAGAAATCAATCCCAAATTATCCTGGAAACCAAATTACAGATTGTACTTTGTGTCAGATGTATCTGGTGGTGAGACAGCAGAGGTAATGTCTTATGTAACCTGTTTTTGACCACAGACATTTGGATAGTTAAAGCTAAAGTTGGTGACTTTATGAAAATGTCACTATGTTCTGAAAGATATAATGAGACAGAATGGGAGAAAAAACCTTCAAAAAGCATTCGCTAGAATCAAACACAGTGCACCACTAACAACCAGTCAGAGCTGAGGAGTCTCTAAAGCAGTTGTCAATCATGTTAATCACTCCAGGAACTGCAGTCAAACTGCCAAACTTGCAATACTGATCAAATATGAATCAGGATTCTGTTACTGCATTGCCTGTTTCTCATCTCATCCCAAATGTTTTCAGAAACATATTTTAGTGTACTGTTTAGCTGTAAAATGAGAACCTTTGTGACCAGACCGCCATGTTTGAGACAGTCAACCGCGGTACCAAGCCCAACCCATCAGCCAGAGCCAACTGTTTTTCATTTTACAGCTAAACAGTACACCAAAATGTGTTTATAAAAATATTTGAGATGAGATGAGAAATAGGCAAAGCAGTAACAGAATTTTGATTCATATTTGATTACTGTTGCCAAGTTTGACCACAGTTCATGACCAGTGACTGACATGATTGATAGCTGGGTTAGAGACTCCTTGACTCTGATTTGTTGTTTTTTGTTCACAATGATGGATGGATGGATAGGGAAAGAAATATGACTTTTTTCACAGATTATCTGTCTCATTAAGTGCTGTATGAATATAGTGACAGTTTCAGTAAATATATATATATATACATATATATATACATATGTGACCATGAAAATACTGAGACAACTGTATGAACTGTGAGTAACATCTTTATTTAAATTGTGAAAAACAGATACTCAAAATCACCTGAATAATTTGGCAGATAACCTGCCAGATTACCAAAGACATTTTTCATAAGTGCTGGTAAAAAAAAAGAAAAAAAAAAAGAGAAAAAAATAATCCTGAGTTTTCCCTCCAAGTCCTCGGTGCAGCTTTGGTACATTAACAAAATGTGAAATTGTGAATAAGTGGGATACAATTTCCTCATATCTCAATGGCAGGTTTATCAGTGCTCAGTTACAGTATGCAGTCTTAAAATGCTTTGATTGATTTGGTTATATACAGCAAGTGAAAACTTAAACAAATTATTTACACTGTCATACAGCATGAAGCAATACAAATGTGTCTTATTTCCATTTAAAGCACATTATTGTCCTTCAGTGGAGCATTCCACTTTAGGCATAGCTCATTCTCCCCAGAGGAATTTCAATGAGCATCTTTTTAATAGTTTTTTTTATGACTATAGAATTTTCTGTACTTATTAATTTGGTGTTTATGCAGATCAAAAGACATCTTGATGTCTACATTAAAACTGGGCTAAATTTGGCTGAAGAGGTGGAACTTGTTTTACACATAGCCATTGTTTTAGAAGCATTAAAATGACTGTACTTAAACATGGAATTTGGTAAATATCATAAAGCCTGGTGTTAACATAAAGGTTTGGGTATCTTTTGACCTGCAAATCATCCAATCAGTGTCCAATAGGCCGATTTATTGATGATATAATGACAAGTTAAATAGCAGCAACACATGCAGTTTCTGACAAAATATTTTAGGTGATTATTGTGTGCAACTTCATGAACTTGTCTGTGTCCATTGCCCAGTGTCCATCACGTGTAGGATGAAAAGCAAGACAGAGGAGAGTCTATTGTGGAGGAGGTGGTTTGTCAAGTCCTGTAACCGGATTATGTGTCTTCTGCAGTTCATTTGAAGAACCTTTAGCAGTGTTCTTTGTCGGAGCAATCTTCCCCTTGGCCTTGCTTTTGTGACTGTGATTGTCAGACACTGGACTTGCCTCTCTGCTCCCTGATTTGGACAGCTCAGATTGTGAGTTTGAACTGCAAGGCGATCTGCTTGTAAGTAGGCTTTGGCTTGAGATGACAGAGGTGGGGACCTGATAAGGGCTGAATCGTAACCAAGGCCGAGAGCTGCGGAAACAGTGGTTTCTGGCCAGCGTAGAGGTTGCAGAACAGGTGGGGAGAGCTGGTGCTGCCATGTAGCTGTATGGATAGGAGAACAATCCTCCAAAGGGTGATAATGAGATTCCCTGTATAAAAGGAAAGAATGGTTAATTAAAAAAGTTGGCCTGCTATACCATAGATTATCAGACATTTCTATGTTTTTATGTACAGATTTGTGAAACAAGAGCACAGCCACCTCAGATCAAAGCCCTTTAAGTCTAAGTTCAGTATTTTCAATGCAAACCCAATGTGAACAGCAATTTTTGACATTGGTCCAGTATTGAGTGAAAGTGCTGCAGCCGGCCAATCAGACTGCAATGTAACCACTTGGGGCAGGTTCACTTTGTTGTTTAAGGTCCACTAAAAGCGTTTGGTTTTACTGCTGACATTTTTTAGTTTATTATTCTATGTGTTTGACAACTTATGGAAAGCATCTCTCCAGATATAAACATTTTTGTTAAAGAGTAGGATCCTTCTTGTTCAACCAGAAACAATCCCAGAACCACCGTCACCCATCCTGACTCCAGACTCCATTTAAATAAATAGTCATTTTAGCGTGCATAGTGCCAGCATATTTTCACATCTAACAAGGTGAATTAAGGGTTACCACCAAACCAGAGTTGGTAATTGTTGGAAGTGTGGAAAGACAAAGTAAGATGGTTTTTCTTGGTTTTATTTTGTGTCTTTCAACTTGAAGTGTGTTTTCACATGATAAAATTACTGTTTATTTAAATGGAGTCTGGTGGATTTGAACATAGTAATTTCAGGACTGTTTCTGGTCAAACAAAAAGAATCTTACTTTTTAATAAAAACATCCATCTCTATAGAAATACTAAATATATATATATATAAAATGTATAAAATACTGAAAATATGCTGGCTCATACTAAAATTACTGTTTATCTAAATGGAGTCTGGTGGAATGGGTGACTGCGATTCTGGGGTTGTTTCTGGTTAAATAAGAAGGACCTTACTCTTTAACAAAAATATTTATCTGTGGATAGATGCTTTCCAAAAGTTGTCAGACACTAAAATAATAATCTGAACATGTCAGTAGCAAAAACAAGCACTTTTGGTAGATGTAAAGTGACAATGCGAAGACGCCCTGGATAGTTAAGTTAGAGTTTTGTTGCTGCTGTGTGCCATGCTCTCCCTTAATAGTGGACCAATTTGAAATATTAAAATAACAGGGTCCAGATTGAAACATACCAAATTTACCCTTTGAGTGAGGAGAAGATGATGCAAAAGAGCTGAGGAAGAAATTTCTTTACAAGCTAAATCTCTGCAGCTTGGACTGCATAACAAGTGGAGAAAATTCAGACAGTCCTGTGGTTCAAAACAAGGGAGGTCCACTTGGCCAATGAGGTCAGTGTTGGGAGAGGGTGTAATAAGAGGCCGATTTGAATTTTGGGCAGGAAATATCACATGAGGAGCTGTATTGAACTTCTGGTGGAAAAAGATCTGACCTGACAAATGTTACAGTGGGCAAATCTGCAGCTGCAGCCTCAAATGATATCACATTTTTTTACAGTCACACCAATATTCTAATCCAGGCTTGCGGTTCCCGACCTACAACAGATAGGGAGCTGAACCTCAGGGGTTGTAAAATTACCAGGGTAGTGCTCCACAAAATTCAGCATATTATTTATGACTTTTCTCTGTAAAGTTACGCCTCAGCTGAAATGCTCACGACTCATAGACATGCAAGCTGTTACAAGGGGACACCAACAGAAATGGCTTTGCATTAATTATTTATCTTTATAAAATAAATATAATTTCCAAACGTATAATGATCTCAGTTGTTATGGTATAATTTCAAATATGCACAATTGCCTTTCATAATTTTGTAGATTAATAATTTTAATAAAAGTCATTTCAGTGTATTCTATTTTATGATCACTTCAAACTAATGTAAAGTGTCTTTAAGTACTATGAAAAGTGCTCTATAAATAAAATGTATTGTTTTTATTGTACATGCTGCCTTGAATTAGAAGTACTTAGAGCTCATTACAGTGTGCTCCTATAGCTTTGGCTGGAGGCTGATAACATTAATTGATCCAGCACTGAGGAGTATACCATTAAAATTTAAAGGGTCAGTACACTCAAATTATAAATTTTTCTTATCTACATTTTCCTATCTCATTGTCAGGGGCGAGAGATATCATCTCTGAAAATGCCTGCAGCCATCCCAATACAGGTCAATGGAATTTCATTTATGGTGTTTATGGAAAAAGTCCCAATGGAAATGGTTGACAGTAATATGTGCTTAGTGCTTTTATATGCAAGTGTGAATGGACCAACAGCTTACAAAATCTTGAAACTGATTAACAAGTGTAATACTAGAATAGAGTACTCCTGCTGAAGCGTACCTGAGATGCCAGCATGTGCTGTGACACGTGAAACATGAAGGGAGAGGGAGAGGTGATGCTTTGAGAAGACAGGCCTCCGTTTTCCAGGTTATTTACTCCCGGCAAAGACGACAAAAGATGTCCCATTCCCTCTGGCTTCGCTGACAACTGTCTCGGGTTAAATAACAAAGGTGCCCCGAACTTAAGAAACTGTTGGCTGTGCGCATTCCATCCATCCAAAGTCTGAAGGTGACCAGAGCTGAGGGATGATAAACTTTGCGTTTGGGACATCATAGGCAGGACCCCATCTCTGATTTCACTCATGTGCTTTTTTGATGAGTCAGTCTCCGTAGAGTACATATCATCTGATGTTCTTAACAGTGTTCTGTCTTTCATTGTGTCCTGATCGTCGTCGCACTTACTGAGAGCAGGCTTGATCTGTGGTGTCTCCTCACTCTTCTTACTCATGTGTTCAGTCCTAGAACAACTGGCTTCAGCAATGTCCTCATCTTGAAGATCAATATCTGAATCGCTTCCAACAATGTTGTCATCTGTGGGAGAAAATGTTAAATTCATTAAATGTGTGTGTACATATTATAAGAATACAGTGGGGACAGAGATGATTTAGTGCAAACATCTTGAGCTATAACGAGACAATGCTTATTTGTGAGTAACCTCAAGGCGCCAGAACAGTCGATTCATTCAAGCAGACCGTCTGTGTTTTGCCAAATTTGAGTCACACAGAGAACTGAGGTTAAGATCTACAAACTTCCCGCCATGTCCCCCCCCCCGACCCCTCTTCTGACCACCTCAATAAAATAGGGCCATGACAATGGGACAAAAAAAAATAACTCAATGTCAGCTTACTTGCTAAAGGCTATGATATATATTATATGATATATGTAGAAAAGCTAGACCCCAAGTTAAGATTTGTTTTGTCACATTTATGTAGCGCATAATGACAAAAGAGTTGAAAAATCCATCTCATCGTCTAAGAATACATCAACTCCAGCGACATTATTTAATGCCTAGAGAGTCAACAATAAGGCATTTTTCACAAGACACATGCTGACATGTCAAAAACGGAAAAGCACAGATGTACATAATGAAAATTAATAGGAGACCATTTTACTATGGGATCACTCCAGCCACGATACAGCGATTTAACTTAAAATGAAAGTGGTCCAGGGACATAAAGTAGGGGGACCAATGGACCATTCCCAACTTTCTACCCCTAACTTTCAGTGCTCCTACTTTTGGTGCCCTTGCTCAGACCCCACCAATCTTAAAACTCAGCCTTCATTTTGATTTTTTACTATACCACTATCATGGTGACAAAATCTGTCCACAGACAGACATATTAACACCTGGCAAAGTACTAAAAATGTGGTAGTTCCCGCTGCTGCTATTGTCTCCAGGACCAGATTTTGCGATGATGACACACACACACACAAAGCGACTCAAAAGGTTAAAACAAACCAGCCCCACAGTCGCAGATAGTAATTATGGCTCAACGCTTCAGTTTAAGGGTCCTAGTTTTGCACATACTGTCACCGTCACATTGCCATGGTTTACTGGGACGCTTAAATAGAATAAGAGCCTTCGTCAATGTTATTAGTACCACCTGTGGTTTTCTAAATCTATCTAGACCAAATGTCTGCTGTGAAACTTGTTTGTTAACTTCTGCAATCTAATAGGCCTAATGATGGCTGGATGGATGTAGAAGACTCTTTAATTCATGCAAAAGAAAACCACTAAAGATCCACATTAAATTTAGAATGGTGTATTTTTTATTTGTGTGATTATTTGTAATTAGTTAATTTCCTCCATTGCTAAAAAAATAACTGAATCATTTATATCAGCTTAAAGGGGAACATCACAGATTTACACATCAAAGTGTGATTTAGTTTATAGGTCTGGAGAACTACTGCATTTTGTGTAAAGAAGTTGTATTAGAGCTTTTTGTGGCTCCAGATGGAGCTGTGATAAGTTGCCTCAGGTGATGCCACTTGAGTTAGTTTTGGCTAAAGACAACAAGTTTCAAAATGAGAAATGTGGGGATGTGGAGTTAGAAAGACATGAGGTTATGAGTCCAGACTTTTGGTGGCGATGTGAGAGGAAAGAACAAGGAAGAAGAATGGTCTACAAAGGATAATATCTTCGGTTCTGCTGCATCAGTTTTGACCCTGTTTTCTGTCAGTTGTCCAGTATGATAATGTTATGAGAATGCAATGCTACATCAGTGGAGTGCTCTTAGAGATCTGTTTGTTTTTGTTGCTCTTTTTCAATATACAGTGTTGCTACTGTACAACCTTTAAAGTAGCTGGAAACCATGGTTTGTTTGCTGCTTATTGGTTTGTAAAACATAAATGAACATTGCATCTGTTCAGTGACTGTAATGTTAAATATTTAGACCTTTAGAAATCATTTTGGTTCGCAGAAACATTGGCATGAAGGCTGCTTGATGATATAATAAACTGTAAGTTAACCCACCTTGACAGGTAGGTGTAGACATCAGAGGGCTGCTCACCAGCTCCCATGGAGAATAAAAGGGATCACTGGTGCTGGGTTGCTCACTCGAGTCATCAGAATCAGCACAGTCCCGGTCCACTTTGCTTTGGCTCTCATGCGGCGACATAGGTAACTGCTTACTCCTGCAGATCACGAATTGAAATTAGGTCTACATATAGATATTTTTAATATTATGATGAATTCTAATAGCAAAACAAATACCTCTTTTCTCGTCTCCCATTTCCTGTGTCTCTAAATCCTTTGGCAAAGGGATTGTTGTCGATTTTTAGCTGTGTAATCTTGTGGAGAAAAAGAAAAACCTGCATGTTACTAAGTGCAAAAATACAACTCCCTGCACAGATCATAGAAAGCTTATGTGTGGCACTAATGAAGTCCCCGTTTTGGAGCATCTTTGTCAGGCCTCTAATTCAGTCTCCAAATCAGCCCAACATTCACCAGACTCATGTTTTTCTCTCACTTTTCATACACATAAAATACACAGCACTACAGCCATGTGCATTCTGGGTATAATGCAGGCAAACGACTGGATTTAAGTCTGCTGTGAGTGCGTGTGGAGGGGGGAGGAAGCGCGTTACCTTTTCATTCTGATACGCAGTGACAGCGATGAACTCCGTCTCCGGGAAAACGTAAGTCCGGAAGGTGCTGTATGGAAGCTTCATTATGTCGTTGGCTCTCACAATATGAAATCTGGGTTGGTATTTATGCATTGAATTCAAAATAGTCTGAAAAAAAAAAAAAACAAAGACAAAGAAAGTAGAATATGAATGTTGCTGGCTATATGACACAACTGACTAGAATTACGCACAATTAAAAATATTGTTAAATAAATTTGAATGGGCTCATAAGTTCTGTATTTTTTTTGTTATCATCCCTCAATATGAAAAAAAGTTTTCAATAATAAGTCCTACATGAAAATTCAAATTGTTGCTACTTACAAATCCATGCTTATCCGAAATATTATTGGTGAGTTTGAGTTTATGGAAAGCGACGGGCTTGCTCATCCACTGCTCTCCTTTGGACGGGCTGTCTGGATGGATGTACATGCGCTTTGGCATCTCCGGGTCAGCTTTCCCAGCCACCACCCAGCGGGAGTTGTGAAACTTGTAGCGGCAGTCATCAACGGCGACGATGTCCATCAGCAGGATGTACTTTGCTGCTGCAACCAGCCCGTCCACCCGCACTTTGAACGCCGGGAACATCCGCCTGCAGCAGAGGATTAACGAAACATCAGTGTTAAAAAACTTTGATTTGGACTTTTTGCATGCAAGCATCTTCCAGTGGGAATATGATTTTTTTTTTTTTCTGACTATTTTTAGTGATTAAGCAGGGACTGAACTGGACCCTTGTAAAGTAAGTAAAGGGCCCCGACCTAAGAAGGGTTAATCCTATAAAAAGCATCATAGACACCGATCCTATAATAAAGAAATGTAATATCTTTTTGGACCTTGATATAAACTGATGGCGTTTCAGGTCCCATAATGACACTTTTATGTATTTAATTAGGAGCCAATACGCACAGTTCACGTACCTTCCTGATTTTGTAATAACCATCTCAGTTCCCATTTTGTGAAATTCATTCCATAAACTCTTTGACTCCAGAGTGACTTTCGGGTCATCTTCCAGCCCGTCCTCTGGCTGCAGGCTCTTCAAGGACTGCGGGTGAACCGGCTGACGGTGGCGCCTCAGCGCTGCGTCAGAGGCAGCCTGCTCCGGCAGAGGCTCGGACAGAGAGGCGACGTCTGGGAAAGGCAGCGCGGGGAAAAACGAGGGCTGAGCGGTGGTAAAGAGGGCTGACAAGGGCAAGGCACCTGGTCGATGAGTTTGGAAAGGATGGTAAGCCATGGCAGTCGCTGTGTCAACTGGATCTCTCATCGGGGCATCCGATCTGACAGGTCGATGTTACAAAGTCTCAGCCCACTTGCTGCTGCAGGCGCGCGGGCGTCTACATCCGAATTGCAGCAAGAAGAGTTTGTGAGTTTTCTAGCATGGCCGAGAGATCAAATGAGGGAATGCAAATTTCCCAATAGTTTCCAGACACTTGGGCAAACCAAGGCAAGGATGGTCCTTTATGTATCCGCTGGTAGGTAGATCCACCATGGAGAGGGCAGCGCACTTTTGGACCATGCGCAAAGCTTGGTAACAACTGCAATGGCATGTGTGGACATAGAGAGGCAAGGAGATGATATCCACACCGTCACAAGTCTGTCGGCCCGGCAAGTCACACGAATGTGCCAAATAGCTTTCACTGTCTGTACCAATTACAGAGTGTGCGGGGCGTGGTTTCAACAGAGAGAGCTGTGGATTTTAATGGATTAGACAGCATGCACACACTGCATTAAGTAGCACAGCATGAATGAATGATTACAAGTACTTTTACCAACTTTTATACCGTAACAGTGACGATTAATATTGAGAATAGTTGTAGGTTGACGCTTTAATTTATCACTTATTTTATATTTTACATGAAATCAGGAGTAAAACCTCATCTCTTTTATTGGCTTATTATGTGCGAAAATATTATTATTATAATTAATAATATTAATCATAATAATAATATAATGGTGATGATTTTCAGATTTTCCCTAAATGACAGTCAATATGATCTCGAAATGTGTCTAAATCTATGGAATTCTTTTTCTCCTGTGGTGACAAAAAAAGAAGAAGAAAAAAAGATTCTTATTTTCTCATCAATCTTTGAAAACTGCGAGTGTTTCTGATGAGGTGTGGATGCATGGATCTGGTAATTAAGGCGGACCCGGCGCCAGTTTGCTGGCGTCCCGCACAGAGCCGAGAGCTCTCTCCTGTCACTTCACATCTCGGCATCTCTCCAAATCCTCAAGTTGCCTGTTCCACTTTTCTTTCCAGCGCAGCCTACAGGCTACACTGCCGTGGCTTTTGTGAACAGGAGAAAACCTGAGTTAAGAAGGAACATGACTCCGAGTATCTAAATAAAAGCAGCACTTGAGTCTCGAATTTTTCTGGATCAAATGAATGAAGTCCAGGTTTTCTTGATACTTTTGCAACTTATACACACCTACTTGTCCCAAAGTTGTAAAGTGTAAGAATTCATTTCCACTGATATCCTTTGTTATATGTGATGTATGTTGTCTCTTCTCAGGCAATTCAACTGGTAATATTAAAGGCTTTAAAAGCAATAGTAATACAACTTAAAAAGCAAAGGTGCCAACTCAGAAAACTGTGTTTCGCTTTAATCGAGGTGTGGTGTAGTCTGAACATTTTTAAGAATATATATCTAATTTAAAATTGTTTGTTTTGTTTTCTCATATTATTTTTTACCAAGATCAGATGACTTTTAGTCCCTCATATTGCACATCAGTGTCAACACAATGCCTGTATAGGACACCAATGTGTCCGTTGGTAAGTCCCTTAAGGAGATGATGAGGAAAGTTTAACTCAATTAACCACTGAATTTAAAGCTTTCATATGTAACATTTTTAAGTTGAGGAGTGTTTTTATTCATATTTTCTACTGGTTTATATAATTTCCTTAACTGAAACAAAGACCACTGAAGTGCCCATCTCTCCCAATTCAATTCAATTCAATTCAATTCAATTCAATTCAATTCAATTCAATTCAACCAGCCTTATTGGCATGACATTTAAAATATGTTGCCAAACCACAAATACAATTGAAAGACGGTGAATGAAATAAGTGACCACATGAAAGACAATATTAGTCAATACAGTAAAATAAGTAAGCTAATTCAATTTGTAAGCAAAGAAAACAATATATAGCAGGACTTGCAGAATTATGTTCTGCAATTGTCCCCCTTTAGAAATCCATGATTTTCTTTTCTTGATGACTTCCTTTTTGTAGATGGAATTTCTTGACAGTCCAAGTTTCTTCACTAACACCATTCGCTGAACTGTTGCATATCCTGGCTTAAGCTGTTTCCTCTCATGACAGCTTTCAACTGAATGAACTGATTCTCTGGCCCATAGATTAAGTAAGTCAACGCTAGCCTACACACACTGACTGAATTTGCATAGGTTGCTTGCATTCATTTCAAACATTTTTGCATTTTTATTCTGTAAGAATTACTGCTAACATGTTTGTTTTATTTTTCAATTCAGACTTTATTAAGGACACAACTCATTAGAAGTTCGTAGTACAATAAAATACCATACAATGTCAAAATAAAATAAATAAATGAAATCCATATAAGACATTCCATAGTGGTCATACAAATCAATCAGTGACAATAGTTTGTGAATTTTGGAGAAAACTTAGGTATAACATGCTATGTGATTGTTGTACCGACACTAAAAACAAAACTATAACAATTTTAGAATCAGTGAATAATGATAGGCAACTTTTGTCAGTACTTTCCAGCTCGAATGGGCTAGAAATAATAATTTAAAAAAAAAAAAAGTCTGCTGTTTTTCTCTTTGCTGCACCAAAGGCTGGACTACAATGAATGCAAGGTGAGGTGGAGTGCTGCTTGACAGTTACAAGGCAGTAAAGGCTCGGGATAGGAAGTGATCTCACAGGTCCCACAAATGATAAATGGCTCCTGAGATAGTGAAGGGTAATAACTTGTAATCAAAGCCATAAGAGGAGTTCACGATTGAGAGGAGATACATTTTCACAGAAATGGCGTGCATGAGGGTGCCTGTCTAACACAGCCAATGACAACACTGAAAAAAGCTTGGGGTTGAAGAGGGGAGTGGCGGTGGTCGGGTCTGCTTTTCCTCACTCATCGCTACTGAGAGGGATGGTCTTCATATATGCCACCATTTTTCTCTGGTGCAGCTCCAGCCGGCGGCTTGAGAGAAGCGCCAGAGCAGGAAGGAGGCAATCAATCTGAGTGATGGTGCATGAATTTCACCTCTCTGGTCACAGTCCACACCTGGGACAAATTCCGAAGAATGTTAGGCCACTGAGGGTTCCTGGCAAGTCATCCAAAGGGCAAGCCAGTAAAGTACATATCACATCTGAAGGTTGGAGAGCACTCTTAAATGACAAACGGGAGGAAGAGGACAGGAAGATAACTTAAGTGTGGACTTAAGACCGAGCAGAGAGGTCTAAAGACCGGTCACCTCAAGTGTTGTCTGGGCTCTGTGGTGTCTTGCTTTAATCATGACATCATATTGGTAACATAATAGACACAACACATGGATCTATTTATCCTGACTGTAAGACCTAGACGATGGGATTAGTGTAGCTCCAAAAGCAGGGAGCTGCATTACCACAAACAGGCTTATTTATGGATTCAATTATGGGTATCTTTCCTGTAATGCACCGGAAAGATATTCATACCCTCTGCCTCCATTTATTTTTCATTACACGTGAATCATATATGCGTTATTACATGAAAACGTCGGTCCGTGTTTGTCTGGAGTGATTCATGATGATATCACTTTCCAAAGCTCAGACGTTCGGTGTACTTTCTGAGCTCCAGCAGAGTGGAATGTGAATGTGGCTCATTATTACAGGAGGGTTAAGATGATGAACTCCATTAAAGAGCTGAACACTTTGTTCTGCATTTCAGACGTCCCACATGTGTTTTGTTATACTGTTTTGTTTCCAGACCATTTCATTTTTGTACCAGATTTTGCATGTTTTTACACCCTTATGGACAGTGGTCACCAGTTGTAGAGTGGCATTCTTTTTATTTATATTTTTTAATCAACATTTTAGGGGAGGGGGAATTTCATGCATGCATTAACTGTATATGCCCCTGTAAATTAAGAAAACAGAGGAGTGTGAGTAAAGTGTACACTCATTTGTCTATAATATGGTGTCATTCTGGAATAAATACTTAATAAGATTTATTCTCCTTTCTTTTTAGAGGGTATGGGGAATGCGCATGTAGCCTGTCAGCGGTGTAGTGTGTACAGAAGGGCCTTCTGTACACACAGGGCCTTCTGTACACATTACACCGCTGACAGGCTACAACTGGTGACCACGCACAGCTGTCCATAATCATTAGCAAATGTAATCATAATCCTAAAGACACAAAATTGCCATTATTATTATTACTATCACTTCCAGTATTAGGATGAACTACAGCTCTGCATGTAGTTTGTCCAAGTGGTGTTGCTGTATCCCAGCCGAAGACAGCTCATAGGCATATAGAGTGCCCCAGGCATGATGTTTTTCTGTAGGCCGACGCGGAAGTTAGAGTTGACCTAGTTCCTTCGACAAAAAGCCTATGGGATTTCTTCATTTGATTTTGGATTACTGCAGAAAAAAAGTTATGTGGCAGACAAATGTATAAGGTAATTACTAGTGGTAGACAAAGGGCCCATCCCAATACCCCCCCTTAGCCTTACCCCTTGGCCCTACCCCTACATTTGCGCGTTCCCAAGAGGGATCGTGGTGTCCCAATTCCTTTTTGCGTGCAGGGGTAGGGGGCATAACGAGGGGTAGTGGGTATGAAACTAGCCCTTCGGAGCAAGGGATTTCAGATGCTGACTTGCCAGCGAGGGGTAGATGTAGCCATGGCTACCACTGAGCAAGAGACGGGGAAAAAAGTTCATACATAGCTAACGTTACCGTCGTCTGGTTGCTTGTTAGCTAGCTAGCTAGCTTGCACCATCTGGCGTCTGTCATCTGTCCTGTTCTGCAAAATTGTCAGACTTTTCACATTACGATAACACACCAGCTAGTATAACTATGCTGCCTCGAAATGTTAGCTGGTTAGCTAGTTAGCAGAAGTCCCCTGTAGTCTGTCGTTCATCAAACGAAGCATGATGAATGAGGCAAACGCGATCAGTAGGATGAATTAGACTCCATTGTAGATGCCGGTTGGAAATGTAAATAGCTCGCAGCTTCCTGTTTAAAATAGTAACGTATGCAGGAACATTACTGATGCAGTGACGTAGTGAGTGGTGTCCCAATTCCTAGGGAAAGATTTCTACCCCTACCCCTCGTTGCTTCATTTTGAGGGCCAAGGGGTAGTGGGAAAGGGCTAGGAGTAGGGCCAAGGGCTAAGGGGTAGTGGACAAGGGGGGGTATTGGGATTGGGCCTAAGTACACAACTCTATTACATAAGTCAAAGTATAGATAACCTTGGCCAAACATTGAATTTATAGACCCTAATGACTCTAAAACAACCCTAATGACACTAAAACAACCCATTGAATGCACTGACTTGCTTGTAGAAGCAAGTAAAGCAAATAAACAAGTCATAATTTGTAGGCTAGGTTAATTCAACTTCTCTTACACAGCATTGCCATAAATGTGAAA